AAATAAACCGTATAAAAATAATATTTTTATGACACTAAAATGAAATTTTAATAAACATAAAATACAATAAATAAAATTTAAAGAGTGAATAAAATGAGATCTATTTGATGTTTTAAAATATAATTTAAGTTTTTTTAAGATTATATTGGTAAATATATGGGTGTAAATGCTACGAGACAACTTGCAAGCTACTCGAGATCGACTCGGTCAAACCTTGTTCCATGAGGTAGGGGTGGAACAAATTTGTTCCACTATGTTTTTGTCTGTTTCACATAAAAGTCATGTCAAACATGGGACGGGGATCTCTGTCTTAGTTTGTCATGTCCAGTGTACCAAACGCACCCTTATGGATTTGGGCTCGATGGTGTACATTTTGTTTTGTATTGGGTCCCTTGTCTTAAATTTGTTACTTGTGGTGCAGTTGACTCGTGGGCGTTTGGTTCTTTTTATCTTTCTCTCTTGTTTTCTCTCCAAAAATTAAAAATCTTTTTAACGCAATCACTAAAAACTATATTGTGTCTCTATTTCTCCTTCTTCTCCATACGCATCTCTCACATCCTCCCACCACACTGATGACGTCCGATAGCCATCTCTGGCAGCTTCCATTTCTATAGTTTCCAAATCTGTGTTTGATGTCTTCACAGTTTTTGTTTCTATTCCACAACTAATGTGTTTACAATCGTTCAAGGATGTGAATTTGTTTAACATATATATGTTTTACTGGTCAAACGATAATTGTAGGCGATCTATCGTCGAATCTTCAAACCCGACATCTATGGATTATAAATATCCTCATCAGGCATGGAGTTGATAAGAGTCGAGCTTTTTCATCACTGTACAACTAATCAAAGCTTAAAAGGTATTACTATTACATCCAATTGAGGATTCATTGTCGATGAACCCTGTAAATTTGATCGCACATTCACGTAACTACAGTCTATCATCTCATACATCTTCACGGTTTTGATTTGAATGTGAAATATCTTGTATATTTATCTCTTCTTTTTTTTGTGTTGGCAGCTCGTATTATAGAAAGTCACTAATAGTAAACGCATGTGGAGGAGAAGGATGGTCTTAAACAAATATTACGTGAAAAAACCAAGAGCGGTTAATCTATAGCAGGTAGATTATGCGTTTTTAGTATTACCGGATACATTATGAAGATAAATCGTCAAGTATTACCGCCACAACCACTTGGTAGGGTTGCAGGGGAGTAAAAATAGGGGGTAGGGAATGTGGTGTGGGAGGGAAGAGGGAAACTAGATATGGTGGTTGTGGGGAGGCCGATAGGGGAGAAGACGATGCAACAGTAGGGGATAAGATTTGTTTTAATAACTTAAACAAATATACAAATAATTGGTTGAAATAGTGGATAACTGGATCAAAATATTGAATGAATCCAACTATAACCAATGGTAATACCGAATGGATGAAACCGATCTGATCCAATTATCGATTGGACTTGATCGGATGTTCAATGTTATTTGAATTAGATCAGATGACAAAATTGAACATCTAGTGGATGATCGGATCAGATCCATCTGAATTCGTTGAATTTCAACCGATGAACACCCCAGATGAAAAGACAAAATTTAAACTTAAAGAACCAAAATTGTATTTATCTCTAAATATAGGGACTAAATGTGTAATTCACTCAAATCCCCACCAATTATCATGACCTTCTCTATCTCTCTCATCACCTTCTTCCAACAAAACCCGTTGCAGAGGTGGTTTCATCTTTAAAACACACACAAAAATGGCTTCACCGGCAAATCATTTCATACTAATCCTTCTCCTCCACACCCTCCGCCGTTCTCTTCCTTTATCCGCCGCCGCTCCCTCCGGTCTCATAAACTTAATCTACAAAGGTTGCGCAAACCAAAATTTCCAAAACTCAGATGCATCAGAAAACCTCAAATCCCTCTACACCACCCTCCTTTCTCAATCATCCACCACAAATTTCTACAAAACAATCTCCGATGAAAACGACCAGTCAACTACCACCATCGCTGGCCTCTACCAGTGCCGCGGCGATCTATCCAACAGTGATTGCAACACCTGCGTGAAAAAACTACCGGAAACCATCGCTAAAGTCTGCAACAGAGCCACCATTGCCGCCCGTGTCCAGCTCGGCGGGTGTTACCTGAGATACGAGGTTCTCGGGTTCCCGCAGGTTCCGGCGACGGAGCTTCTGTACAAACAGTGTAGTTCGCGGCGGGCCAGTGGGTCTGGGTTTGACGAGAGACTTGCGTCGGCGTTATCGTTGATTCCGAAGGGGGTTGCTAACGGGAAGGGGTATTACGCCGGTGGATATCAGTCGGTTTATGTGCTGGGGCAGTGTGAAGGTGATCTCGGAGGTGGAGAGTGTGTTAACTGTGTGAAAAGTGCGGTAGGGATCGGAAAAAGTGAGTGTCAAACCTCCATTTCCGGCCACATTTATCTTCAACAGTGTTATATTAGCTACACATATTATCCCGACGGAGTCCCCGGCGCCGGTAACGTCTACCCATTTCTTCTCATTGTTTATTTTAAACTAAGTTATTTTTTACTATAAAATTCATTATCAATCTATTACACTTACAATTGTTTAACCTTTTCAAAAACTCCTTATTACCAGTTTAACATTAATATAAGTCATTTATCCAAACATTCAAAAGTGCTTATTACCGATGTCATACCGGAATAAATCAATAAGTTGTTTTTATAAACAATGTCAAACACTCCTGAATAGACAAAGCTTGCCGGAGATTTCACTTTTTTAACCATTTTCTAACTCAAAATTCATTTTTAGCCTAGGGGAGTAAATTAGTCGAACTTTTAACGACTACTCGAGCTCTTTTATTTCGAGTTCAAGCTTAATAATTATCGAGCTCGAGTTGATCTCGGTCACATATAAAATAGAAGTCATTTAACTTAACGAGTCAAGCTTTATAAAACCTATGTTTGACTCGGATCATTCGAAAGTTTGATTAAATTTTTCAAGTCGAGACGAGCCATTCGAACATATACTTTTTCAAGTTAGTCATACTCGTATGTTCATAAATAATATAATAAAAATAGAAAAATTATCAACCTCGAGCATATAATCGAGTTAATCGATTGCGAGTATGAGCCCATAAATGACCATCGAGTTCGATAACTCAATATTCGAGCTCGAGCTCTATATGGAAAAAGTTATTTGAGTTTTTCTGGCAGAGCTCGAATAACCTTTTACTCTACTCGACTCGTTTATAGCCCTATATCCTTACATGGAAAGCGTTACGTTGTGCTCAAAGGATTCCAATATACCAGATTACAGCGAAATCCTTACACACACATATAGGGTATATTTCAAATGCAACTATGTCTATTTGTACAACAATGCAACCCAATCAATTGAGATATTTATGAAAATGATGAGAGTTCATTTATTATGATTTAAATATTTATGAAAGATGATTAAAGTTAATTAATTATGATTAATACTTTATATCAGGAAACAATCAAAACTTCTATAAAATCACATGTTAATCAAATAAAATGGACGGTTGAAATTAAATTGTATTAATTGCACAAATATCAAGAATTGTATAATAAACAACCTATATATATCTATCAATCAGGAAATGATTCTCTCAACTATTTATATAAATTTTCCTTATTTTTTGGGATCAAATGGTAACAAAAATCACCTGAGGAATAAAAAAATAAAAAGGACAACTGCGATTCATTATTATAGCAGGATTTTGTTCTAGAAACGACAAATTAAGGTACACTTTTCAGTCTACAAATGGGTCCATTTTCCGTCAGTTATAAGTTGGTGTTTCGGCGACAGATGGTGGCAGTGTGGGTGGCGTTGGTGGTGTGGAAACAGCAGCCACGGAGACAGGCGGTGGTGGTGGCGGCGGCGGCAAAAACAACACAGAGAAGACGGTGGCCATCGTTTTCGGTGGACTAGCGGGTTTGGGGCTGGTGGTTGCTTTCTTGTTGGTTCTGAAATCTGCTTTCAGAAAGAAAAAAGAACACTACTATGGAGGTTCGTGTCTCTCTCTCTCACACTCACTTTTGCATGCGTATAATAATACAACATTGTTTATAAATTTACACTTTTCATCCCTGTTTAATCAAAATAACACAAATTAGATTGTTATACGTTTTAAATTTATTCTATCAAATTCACGTTCGGTATATGAATGATGTGTATTTATGTGGTTGGTGGACATGAATGAGACATGAGACTTTGGGACAGGTGATTTTTACGGTTATCGTTTGACCGATCTAAATACAAATGAAGAATCAAATTAAACGTTTCAATTTCAAAATTCAAATCAATGTCATGAAGCCAAATTGGCTTTTGGTTTAGGTTGAACCAATAATTGGGTTTCTTATTGTTGTTGGAGTGCCACATCGATAGACACGTACTAGTGTGTGTGTGTGTGTATATATATATAAAGAGAGAGAGAGTCGGGTCTTAATGAGAACAATAATCAAATAAGATAATACGAAAAAAGGCAAATAGCATGTGATTTACGTTGAACTCACGTGTAAACTTACATATGATTACACATAAACTTGCCTAGTCGTCCACACAACTTTATGTTGACTGTGTTATGCAACTGCGTGTGATTTCAGTGTAAAATCACATATGATTTGGTTGTTCTTGTGTTTTCTTATTTTTGTCATGTTCTCGTTTAATCTTCCATATACATATATATGGGTGAGTTTCATTTAGGTGAGTTCGAGGAACCAACTATTCATGATGAATAGCATTGAATAATGAAATTTATTCATAATGGATGTAGTGATAGACGTTCATGCATAATGAAAATTATTCATAATGAATATGTAGTGATAGACGTTCATGCATAATGAAAATTATTCATAATGGATATGTAGTGATAGACGTTCGTGTTGAACGTATTGATAGATATTATTCATAATGCAAAAACATATATCTATAATAAAAATGCAGTAACTCATAAAATAATGAAAATGCATGATAATCATGATGAATAATATTCGTAATTATTCATCATGAATAGTTGGTTCCCTGGGTTCTCGATGAATTTAGGCTGAACCATTACTTGTTTTTTCTTATTGTTGTTGGAGTTCTGCATCGACTAGACACAAACCATTAATAAGGTTTTTTAGTACATAAATAAATTTTCAGATATCCTAACATGGTATCAGAAGGATGTGTCAAAATCATATAATGACTGGATTTAGACCATCAAACTTATATATATATATATATATATATATATATATATATATATATATACACACACACGTGTGTGTGTGCGCGTGCGCGCTTTTCTGCAAATAATCTTTTCAAATAAATATTACATGGTTCTACTTATTTAGGTTCACGTGAGACCAGTATGTTTTCGTGAGACCACTTTTTTGCACATAAAACTTCATAGCAAAACGTTGTGAAGGTAAAAAAAAGTCGAACCTTCACAGCATAAACACTGTGCCTTCAGAGCGTTTTGCTGTGAAGTTTCAAATGTAAAAAACGAAAACAGACTGGTCTTACATGATCCCAAGTCTGGTTGTACATATTTTAACAATTATAATGTTGCTTTTGGTGAAATAATGTAGGTTATTGAAGTTGGATTGGAGTGGCCATTGAAGAATGTAAAGGCAAAGTGAAAGATAAAGAGGGACTTGCTTTGCTTTCCATCTTTTCTTGGGGGTGGTGGGTCTATACAACAACTCAAAAAGGGTTCTTCCTTCATCTCCAAGTTACAACTTAAAACTCCTTGCTTTTTTAGGCTTTATTCAATCATCATTAGTGTTTAATTGTGTATATATAACATCCCTAAATAGCTAGTCTTATGATCCAATTACATAAACGGAAAACCTCAACGGTTGACTCCCGTACTGTCCCCCTTTTTGCATCTTGACGTTATATGTCAAAATTTGTAACATTTCGGGTTAATATAATGTGCTCATTCCCACGTTTATCGGGTAATATATAAGTACGAGGCCTGAAGTTAGAGTTGGGCTTAATGTGATTTTTTTTGGGAAGTATATAACAATCATGAAATGCAAAAAATCGTCATACTTCTTACTTATGGGTGAGGTTTAAACTGTCGACCTTCAGAAATTCTACTGATAATTTGAATGCTGTTGGAACAAACAGTGTTTTTTTGGCAAATAAAGTGTGAAGGATTTTAATATGCAAAAGGGAAGTGAAATCCTCTTTTCCTTTTGAAGTGTGGAATGGGTCCATGGGTTCAAAATTATTGGTCTTATCTTGGCAATGATGGTCTCTCAAGTGTACATTTGGAAAAGACTTGTTTCATGGTTACTTCTTTTTGGCCTCTTTTATATGTCCCCTTTTCATTGGAACACCAATTTTATGTACTTATGTATATAAGTAGAGTGGGACTCGGAGAATAATAACAAAGTAAAAGAACACGAAAACGGTCAAATCACGTGTAAAATCATATATGAATTTACACTAATGGTCAACAAAAGGGTACGCGGGGGGCATGATGTTGTGGCCAAAGTCGTGTGAAATTATATATGATATTATACATGATTTTATTGTGAAATCACATGTGATTTGACCTTTTTCTTATTCTCTTGTTTAGTTGTTGTTCTTGTATGAATATCATTCCATATATGTATGTAAGGGATCGATCCAAACGACAATCATAAATATGATGAGAACCTGATAACCAGTTATTTAATGTATGATTCGTGATGAATAGCTCTGAACGATACATTTATTTATGACAAATGATTAAATGTTGTGCCAAATGTTCATGACGAATATAAGTAATAAGAATACATGATAATAAAGAAAGCACTTGATATTCATCATGAATAGTAGTTATGATTATTCAAGATTATTCATTATGAATAACTAGAAGCGTACTCGCGCAATGCAGCGAGATACATCGTGATTTTAATATTTTATTTTATTTTTTATCTCAGTCGATGTTATAATATGGCTTTATGTGATTTTGAAATTCCTCATCAATTTTTTTATAAT